GGTAATTCATGTAGAAATGTTTTTAGGGAAATTATATATGTCAAAATCATAAGTTAAAATCATAAGTTGAGTGAAATATATAACAAAATTAGATATATGTGATTACACAAAAACTGAAAAACACATAATGGTCTTACTTTGTGAGTAATTACTGAAAATTTAAGATATATATGTAGTAATAATCACATGTGTGTGTTAAATAATAAATCATTAAGTATATTATACATATTAATCACCAAGTTGATCGATTTTTACAATACTGCCCAATTCAGTAAGGATTCGATCGGGGAGTACTCGGGATTCTGTAACTCGCCTCGGTAAGGGGCCGAGTAGCGAGTACTCGGAGGAGTAATCGGTCAACTCGGCGAGTTTTACAACATATATATATATATATATATATATATATATATAAAGCAAGTAAGTTTTTTTTATTTAAAAAAATAACAAACAAAATTTCTACTTTTTCATAAAAACGTTGACCACCTCGAATTTATACGAACATATAAATAAAAATAAACACGAAAGAAATTGATATTTTTTAAGTTAAGGAACAAAAGTTATTTAAGAAAAATAAATTTTGTATACTAAGGAAATAAACAAAATGTTTAGAAATTAGAAAAGTAAAAATGATATTTTATAGAGTTATATTTTATAGGAGACTAATTGACGATTCTGGTAGCCATTTCACTGGGACACTGATATGCTGGTCGAAACTCATTCCCCTTAAAGTCAAATGTTTTATATGGAAGGTCAATCTTGACAGAATCCCGGTCGCAGAAGCACTCAATAAAAGGGGTATTTCGGTGAATAACTTGAATTGTCACATATGCGAAAGTGCAATCGAATCAGCAAATCATCTTTTATTCGGGTGTAACTTTGCAAAGACGGTATGGTACTGGATTCTCAAATGGTGTGGTCTACAGGGCATTGAATTTGATAGTATCAAGGAATGTATTGAGTTTGGTAATTCTTGGGGGAACTGCTCAAACAAAAGGCAGGTACTCAATGCAATCTTATACTCGACAGTGTGGAACATTTGGTCAGCCCGTAATGAGAGAATCTTTCACAAAAAACATCCCTCTCCTATTAAAACGGTGGATTCAATTATATTACAGACGTTTGAATGGTGCAAATACAGGGGTAATTCTGAAAAATGTTGGGTAGATTGGAGCTGCTTCCCATTTTGACATCTTGCTTACTTTTTTGTTTGTACATTAGTTTATGTTTATGTTTGTTGTTCCCTGTAGTGTGTAGTGTCTGATTGCATAGCTTCTTACTATGGTTTCATCTTTTCTAATATATGCTTCTTATTCGCTGTTTTAAAAAAAAATAGAGTTAAAAGTAAATGGATCAAAATGATATTTTAAAATACTAGAATGATAAAAATATTATTTTACAAAGTATTTTAAAAATTTATTGTTGGTGAAAACTATAAACACTAGTGAAACATAAAAGAAGAGACAAACAACTATAAACACTACTGAAACATAAAAGAAGAACACGTGTATCCTTGTCATACAAAACTCTTCATCTACGTCTACAGGAGCAACAGGATAACAAGAGGTGATCGTGATCCTAGTCGTAATTATAACCAGTACGTTATCGATAAAAATGGACGTCAACCTGAACCTCGATACTCAGGTCGTGCCCATCACCTTGTTCGTTGCCGTGCTCTGTCTGTGCTTGGTAATCGGCCACTTGCTTGACGAGAATCGTTGGGTTAATGAGTCCATCACCGCCATCATCATCGTATATATATATTCCCATGCTCCGATATTGTCATCTTTTTTTTTTCTATAATTTAAAAATCATTTGTGTTCGTGTTCAACTAAACAGGGGTGTGTTGTTGGGACAATCATCTTAATCACAAGCAACTGGAAAAGCACTCATTTTCTGAGGTTCGATGAACAGCTCTTCTTCATTTATCTACTCCCACCCATTATTTTCAATGCCGGGTAAGCCCCAGTAGCTTGTTGGATTAATTTACATCCATCCTCCGTTGTGTTTCTTCATTTACTTTGGGAGCTACGTTTTCTACTTTCCACAGATTTCAGGTCAAGAAGAAAAAGTTTTTCCAAAACTTTTTGCCGATTATGTTGTTTGGAGTCACTGGTGTTTTCATATCAACATCGATTGTCGCGGCTGGTAAATAATATTTTTATCAAAAAAATTGCCCTGTTCATATCAACAGTAAATGATTGCATCAAAATTGAAGTTGAATGTGATTGTTTCAACCTATAGGTTGCTGGTGGGTGTTTCCGAAATTTGGGCTCAAGGGTTTGACAATCAGCGAGTATCTTAGTATGACATATATATGTCTTGGTCTTTCATCACATTAAAGTTAACCTCCTGGGAGCTAATGTATGACTGAATAACTTAACTTTAATTTATAGGTGTAGGGACCATTTTCTCATCTACAGATACTGTATGTACGTTACAGGTAGGTTGGTGAACAAATAAGCTTGTTGCTTCTTAGTTGGTTATTAATTTAATATTTAATATAATATATGCACAGGTTTTGCACCAAGATGAGACTCCTTTGCTATACAGTCTAGTTTTTGGTGAAGGAGTAGTGAATGATGCGACATCCGTTGTTCTGTTCAATGCGGTTCAGAAAATCAATGCAGATACACTCGGTGGCAAGGCTGCTCTTCGCATCTTGCTTGATTTCTTGTATTTGTTCTCCACCAGCACCATTCTTGGAGTCACGGTAACTCAAATTACTTCTTAATTACCACTTTCTTAACTCTTTGTTTAACTAGCCGGCCCTATAATAATATAATTGATGAAGGCAAAGAGATATGAATATATAGTTCATTTAAAGTTGTCTTCTCTCTCATCTGATTCTTAAATCTTAACACGTACCCTTCCCCCTTTGCTTATGTTGTTTGTTGTAGAAGAGGCCTGTCATCTCTTTGACCTTTCTCTTCTTTCTGATTCCCCTTGCCCCTTTGGTTTCTCGATTAATATCCATGATCGAATTCATTTATGTATTGAGAAATCTCTTTACATAGGCATCGATCTAAGTTTTCTTCTTGCTTTCGAACCTCTGCTCATGCATCAATCACACGTTGGATAGACTTTCCTTGTCTTGGACACTACTAAAATGCTTACAAGTGCAGTAGTACTGTGATATCCATAAACCGGTGTTGCTTGTATTGAAATTTTTGTAGCGTTGTCCTTTTCAAGCATTCACATTTGGTTTTTGGTTTTTACATATATATACTCACAAATAATAATGTCTTACGTATTTATCAACTCTGAGCAAGTGTTTGTGGGACAAGGTTAGGTTGGGAAGGATTTTTCATTCTATTAATGCTTAACAAGGATGAAGGATCACTATTACAAATTGTGACTAAAGATGTCTAACAATGGATTCTAGTCCTTCCAGAATTATGACATCTTTTTTATTTTAATTAATTGTAGCATGATAAATTATGCAATCTCTTCAGAAAATAACTATTTTCAAAACCATTATCATCATAAGTCTTATGTTACTGTTTCACACCTTGTTTTGTCTTGTGCAGGCTGGGCTATTGACATCATATATTCTTAGAGGATTGGGCTTTGGCAGGTTAATACTTGTACGCTGTATGCTGTGAAAAATAAAAGCTTAATTAGTTGGAGAAACCTGGAACGCCTGTTTTAGGGGTTTAATTAGTTCTACTTTTTTTTTTTTTTTTCATATTAGATTGGTATATTATCAATAATTGTAGTTTGATTGCTTTGCTTTTACAGGCATTCAAGTGTTCGTGAAATCGCTTTGATGATTTTAATTGCATATTTGTCCTACATGTTGGCAGAGGTAATGATGCATAGGGGTATATATAGTGAGAAGCTCTCAATATGCGCTTCACATGAATACATAGAATAATCATTAAGGACAGTTTCTTTTTTTCTTTGTTTTTGTGCAGCTATTTGAACTCAGTGGGATTCTGACTGTCTTCTTTGCTGGAGTTTTGATGTCACACTATGCATGGCATAACGTAACAGAAAGCTCCAGAATCACTACCAAGTATGTTTATGTATACTGCAACTTGTGCGCATAAGTTTTGTTAATACGTGTCGTCCTCTTTCTTGATAAATTCTTTTGGGAGTTGTACAATTGCAGGCATACTTTTGCAGCCATGTCTTTTATTGCAGAAACATTTATATTCCTGTATGTGGGAATGGATGCTCTGGACTATGAGCAATGGAAAATGAGCATATTAAGGTGTATATATATTGGTTTTCCAATTAACTTTACGCTTGATCCTATTTATAACTCGCATACCTGACTATTTCTTGATGCAGTTTCGGGGCTTCAATTGGCATGTATAGCAGTGTGATGTTGTTAATACTGGTTGGACGTGCTGCTTTTGTGTTTCCCCTCTCTCTTATTTCTAATTACATGAATCGAGTCGGGGATGGTTCATCAAAGATTACAGCAAAACACCAGGTAACTTAACCTATTCATTGGACTTGTGCATGTGAAATTAATTTCTCTTAGCTTCAAATATTTGTTCGAGTTTAAATATTACTTCTGAATGAATGAAGAATAAACTATTATGTTTATGATGAAGTAGTTTATCATATGCTATTTGGTTTAATTAGGTAGTAATATGGTGGGCTGGTCTGATGAGAGGTGCTGTGTCTGTCGCTTTGGCATTTAAACAGGTACTTCTTTTTCATTGATCCATTTGGACTTTGGAGTTGTCACTTTAGTCTAATAACTAATTAACTAATAACTGTCCTTCGTGCAAATTGATTTGTTTTCTTTTCTAGTTTACACTCTCTGGTGTGACACTGGATCCGATTGATGCCACAATGATCACCACTACCATTGTGGTAGTGCTATTCAGTACTATTGTAAGTATATTGGTAATTACACACATGATAATGGATTCTTCTGAAGCGATTTACGGGTTGTTGTATTTCAGGTGTTTGGTTTCTTGACAAAACCTCTTATTAGCTACCTACTTCCTCCTAACACAAGCAACATCGACCGAACTAGATCTTTAAAAGAGGATATGACACTTCCATTGCTTTCTTTTGAAGAATCAGCTTCTGAAAATCTATCTAGAGCAAAGGAAAACATATCAATGCTAATAGAAAGGCCTGTTCACACAATCCACTCATACTGGAGGAGGTTTGATGACACTTACATGAGGCCTATATTTGGCGGGCCACCACGCAACACCGACTTGCCATAGGATCACTCTTTACGGAAAATATAATTCTACCAGACATATAAGAGATATGTCATCAGGGAAAATAAAGTGAATGAAAGAAAAAGATTTGCCATGAAAAGTCAAGAGGGGATAACAGATGCAAAATTCACTGAGGTTTATTAAAAGACCTTTTGTTGAAATATTTGTGCGCATTCTCAAATTGATTACAAAGGTGATGAATGGAGGTTTTTTTTGTTGTGCGAGATGGAGATGATCTGAAACAGCCTTTAAGATCAAGCTCTTTTTATGCCCAACGGCTGCCCATGTCATTTACTTTTCTTGCATACACGCTCGTTTCAGTGTATTTTTTATCTGTAGCTTCTTATATAATTTCTTGTACCCTCAGAGGCTGACACAACTCTTTGAAGTTGGTCTTTTAATTCTAGATTATGTCGTGAATATCTTACTTTTTTTTAGCATTTATGCGTATCTATCTATTTAGAATTAGAGATAGACATCATAGAGTTGATTTGGTTCTAGTTTTTATCTATGGTTAATGACATAGAAAGGTAACGTACTTTAGCCTTTGTCCACATTTAGGTAACGATGTCTTTTTCGTATAGATTTATCAATCAAACTTGTTTTACCTGTTCAAATTAAGGTAATATGACCGATAATCTTAGGTTTATGGCTCCAAATGAATTACGTGGCCTTGGGTTCGAGTCCCACGGATGGCGCCAAATGTTGAAACATGTGTTGAGGCCATCGGGTCTTCTCTGTTGGATCCGTATCGGAGATCTGGAGGTGGTGCCGTCAGCGAGTTTCCGGCGAGATACCCAAGCAAACATCACAAAAAAGTCGTTAGCGTTGCCCCAAGGACTGTGTCCCGGGAGCAAGCTCCGACGTTCAAGTTAGATCGGTCGGTAGAGATGAGATGGCTCTCCCTAGCTGGAGAGAACCATCTTGGTGTGTGTGGTGTGTGTTTGGGCATCATGGAGGCTGATGCTTTAGGGTTTAGGTCCCAGGAAAGGTCCAAGGCAAGCTCATCCTCTGTGTAGGAGATTATGTTCTATTTATGGGGGACAATTAGGTTAAATGAGAGTTACGCCAGGCCTTGGGCCAGCGTAACTCAGGCCCAGCTAGTACGGAGCTGTGTAAGGCCTCCTGGGGTCGTCATGCGAGCGCCAGACACGGGCGCTAGACAAGACTGATAGGCGAGCGCTAGGTGAGCGCCATAGGCGCTAGATAAGGCTGACAAGCAAGCGCCAGGAGAGCACCAGGCAAGGCTGGCATGTCAAGTCTTGACGTATGGGCCATGCTAATGGAACAAACGTTAACAGTGGCATTATTTTATATTACGTGACAGACAATATGTGGCTTTTATTGATATTATGTGGCTTTTATTGATATTATGAGGTATAAAGTTCATACCTTGACCTTTTTTTTTCTAGATGCAAGTTTGATCTCGTTTTTGATGATTTTGGTTCCATTAATGGATGCTCTTGTAGTTTGAGTGTAACGACCCAAACTTTTCCAATTTGTTATCAAGGTTATTTTTCTATTATGTATTGTTGTTAAGTTACTTTTGACATGGCTAAAGTTAACTTTAAGGGGCTAAAGTGCAAGAAAATAATACGTAATCATATAGATGGGTCATGCGGTCATTTTCTCATACATAAGGAGCCTAAATTGAAAGTAATGGAGTATATGTTCCCAGCTAACCCTAAAATCCAGGAAAATGATTCCATTTGCAGCCACCATCTTCCACAGTGAGTGTGAGAGTGTGAGAGAAACTCTCTAGGGCATGGTGTTCATCCCAAAGGAGTCATAAGGTTCGGAAAGCGGGTAAGCTTAACCTAAAGTACAAAAGACCATTCGAGATTCTTGCAAGGGTCGGTCCAGTAGCCTACCAACTCAAGTTGCCCCAAGAACTCAGTAACGTGCAAGAAGTATTCCATGTGTCAAATCTCATGAAGTGTCTCTCTGATGACAGACTTATCATTCCTCTCGATGAAGTTCATCTTAATACCAAACTAAACTTTGTCGAGGAATTGATCGAAATCATGGATCGGGATGTCAAAAGACTCAAACAGAGTCATATTCCCATAGTTAAGGTACGATAGAACTCTAAGCGGGGACCACAATATACTTGGGAGTGGGAAGATCACGAGTTAAATTTCGAAAACACCCCGACCACGAGTTAAATTTCGGGACAAAATTCTGTCAACGGGGGAAGAATATGACAACTGAAGAAAACACGTCACCGTCCGCCATTAGGAATTAGCATAGACATATAAATGTAGGGAAAATGACATAAATACCCTACAAACTTTCTAGGGTTTACCCGTTGAACCCTTAAAGTTTTTGTCGGGCTTTATGGGTCCCTAAACTAGGATATGACCTGCTTTTTTAGTCCATGTCAACCTGTAATAGACGGTTCAATGACCTTTTAGACCAAAAACAAACTCACATTGTGCCCCTATAAAGCCAAAAAAATAAGTTTGTGGATCAATTCGTACAAAAAAAACTCTCCTTCTTTTCTTCTAAAGCCTATTCACACTAAATTCCTCAAGAGATGCATCTGGTTCTCCCATGCACTTTTTCAACAACGATTTGCAGAAATAGTAACTATGTTAGATGCCATTTTATGCATCTTATAGGGTAGTTTTTATCATCATTTTAGCATCATATTTTGTACAT